CATATTTGAGTGTTATTGTGATATTGTTGTGATGTTATTGTGGAGTTATAGCGTTATTGGTGTTGTTGTGACTTTTTTGTGGTGTTCTTGGAGTGATATTGTAGTGCTATCAAGGTATTATTAGAATGATATTGTGGTTGTATTGTGGTGTTATTGGAGTGGTAATGTGGTTGTATTGTGGTGGTATTGTGGCAGTTTTGTGGTGGTATTCAACTGGTTTTTTTATGAAATTTTTGTTGTTTTTTAGTGTTTTCATGTTATTTTGTGGTATTGCGGTTGTATTGAAGTGGAATTAAGGTTGTATTTTAGTCATATTTGAGTGTTATTATAGTATTATTATGGTTATTTTGGTGTTATCGTGATAATACTAGAGTGATATTATAATGTTATTGTTGTGTTATTGTAATGATAATGTGGTTGTATCGTGGTGTTATCATGGTGCTATTTGGCACAACACAATTTGAAATATTTCCATAACATAATTTCTATACTTGTTACCGATTCATGATAAGAAAAAAGATATTTTATTTATATTGTCTTTATCTTACAAATATATAGTTAAGTTAATTAATTGCTTAATTTATTTTCAATTATCAAAAATTACAAAAAGATTCAAACTTTAATTCCTATTATAGTATCTAGAGTTTAAGTATAAATATTTTGCTAAGTAGAATTTGTTATCTAATTTTTGTTGTTTTGTAGTTGCATATTGTAGCTTTCCCTGTGGATTTGATATTTGAGGTTTTATCAAAAATTTATATATTACTTGATAACGATATGTATACTTGCGTAGTTACTTGCGTAGTATCTTAGTATCTCATATTAAATATAATAATTATATTCTTATTTGCTTCGAAGTCAAGTTTGTGCCTAGCTATTACTTGGGGTCAAGTTTTTGGCTGTCGTTGCAAAACAAGAATTATAATTAAGGAAAAATTAAAAATATAATTGCATACATCGCATTATCATATATAAAGAAAGTCGGGTTCACAAATACACCACATGAGGGAGCTTTATCCCAGTGGATCGGTTCTTCTCTGTTTGGCATACCTATCAATAAGATAACTTGGTCGGATTCTAAACTTAATTCCTTCCTGCCCATCCTAAATAACCTTTATTCAACATCCCAACAATTATGGATGTGTAGTGTTAGGACATTGTCTTATGGATATGGGGGTAGATAAAAAAATTGAAGTATGTTCAAATCTCTTAAGGTGTTCATAGTTTCCTCAGATATGATAAGTTTGACCAAATCAAGAATAGATCTTACTACAGATCATCGACACCTATAGTTGAACATCTTTGAGTTCAAAAACCTACTAAAGAAGACAATGCAAAAAAGACATTTTGCTAACGTCAAGCGTGTCCATAATAAAGTTACTTCAGTACCTAAATATGAATGCAACAACAAAATAAACAATTATACAAATTGCAAACCACTACCATAATAACAACAACAAAATATGTCTATAATAACACCAAAATATGTCCAGAATAACATAAAAATATGTCCATAATAATACCAAAATATGTCATTAAAGATACAATGTAGATATAACAATAGCACTAAATTAATGTATTAATAACACCAAAATATGTTCTTAAGGATACAACGTAGATATCATAATAACACCAAAATATGTCCATAATAACATCAAAATACGTCAATAATAACTCAAAAATATGTCAATAATAACAACAAAATATGTCCATAATAACATTAAAATATGTCCTTAAGGATATAACATAGATATCATCATACTATAAAATCAACATCTTAATAACACTAAAATATGACTATAATAACACTAAAATATGTCCATAATAACACCAAATAATGTTCATAATAATATTAAAATATGTCCTTAATGATACAATATAGATATTATAATAACACCCAAATATGTCCATTATAATACAAATATATGTCTCTAATAACACCAAAATATGTTCATAATAGCACCAAAATATGTCAAAAATAACACCAAAATATGTCCTTAAGGATACAACATAGATATCATAATAACACCAATTACATTAAAATATGTCAATAATAACACTAAAATATATCTATATTAACACCAAAAATTGTCATTAATGATACAACATAAATATCATAATAACACTGAAATATGTCCATAATAACACCAAATTATGTTCATAATAAACCACAATATGTCATTAATGATACAACGTAGATATCATTATAACACTGAAATATGTACATAATAACACAAAAATATGTCCATAATAACATCAAAATATATCCATTATAACACAAAAAAATATCCTTAAGGATGCAACATGGATATCATAATAACACTGAATCAACGACCTAACAAAATTAAAATATGTCTATAATAACACCAAAATAAATTCAGAATGCAATGTAGATATCATAATAACACCAAAATCAATGGCCTAATAACAACAACATAAGTCCATAATAACACTAAAATATGAGTGGACAAATTAAAACTCTAATAACACCGAAATATATCAAGGATTCAACGTAGACATCACCATAATAACACTGAATAAAAAAAAAAACTAAAATATGTCCATAAAAACACCAAAATGTATCTTGACAAATTAACACCCTAACAACACCAAAATATGTCTATGGAATAACGTAGATATGTCCATAATAACACCAAATCAACTAATAAATAACAACAAAATTTCTCAAAAATAGCACAAAAAATATGTCCAGACAAATTACCGCTCTTATTACACCAAAATATGTCCAGGATACAACACCACATATCACCATAATAATACCAAATCATCAATAAAATAATATCATGTTACCACAAAAATGATCATTTTATTTAAATTAAATGAAATAACACCTAACAAATATAAAATTCCACCAAGTTGCATGTATAATGACACCATCACCACAAGTCCACCAAAGTTAAACCAAATTATCACTGTAATTGCAACTCAACTGAAATACAACTACGATGCCACTATAGTAACACCAAATTAACAACCTAATCATTCAAATTACCATAAAAAAATTGTATTAAAACATTGATTCAACATAAGAGCTACACCATATTACCACCATAATTACAAGAATCAACACCAAATAACATTATATTACCACCAAGGTGTTATTAGTGCAATATTATGATATTATTATGATATAAATGTGGTTATACTATTGTGTCATTAGCGTTATGGTTTGATATTATTGTCATACAAATGTGATTGTACAGTGATCATTTGTGTAGTATTATAATGTTATTGTGATATAAATGTGGTTGTATTGTGATGTTATTAGTGTAATGGTATGATGTTATTGTTATACAAATTTCGTTGTATAATAATGTTACTAGTGTGGTCGTATTGTGGTGTTAATAATGTGATTGTATGGTGGTGTTATAGTGTTGTTGTAATGTGGGGTTAATAGTGTGGTCGTATGGTGGTGTTATTAGTGCAGTGTTATGGTGTTATTGTGATATAAATGCGGTTGTATTGTGGTGTTATTAGTGGTATTGTATGATGTTCTTGTCATCCAGATGTGGTTGTATAATGGTATAGTTAATGCAGTATTATGATGTTATTGTGATACAAATTTGGTTGTATTGTGGTGATATCAGTGTAATGTTATGGTGTTATTGTCATGCAAATGTGACTGTATACTGGTGTTATTAATGTGGTTGTGTGGTAGTGTTATTAATGTCATATTATGATGTTATTGTGATACAAATGCAATGTTATTAGTGTGGTATTATATGAGGTTAATAGTGCGGTTGTAGAGTGGCGTTACTAGTGCAGTATTATGATGTTATTATGATACAAATGTGGGTGTAATGATTTGATGTTATTGTCATATAAATGTGGTTGTATAGTGGTTTTATTAGTGTGGTTATGTGGTGGTGTTATTAGTGTAGTATTATAATGTTATTTTGATACAAATGTGGTATTATTGTGATGTTATTAATGTGGTTGTATAATGATGTTATCAGTGCAGTATTATGATATTATTATGGTACAAATATATTTGTATTATTGTGTTATTAGTGTTATGGTATATTGTTATTGTCATACAAATGTAGTTGTATAAGAATGTTATTAGTGTAATATTATGATGTTATTGTCATACAAATGTATTTGTATTATGATATTATTAATGTTATGATATGATGTCATTATCATATAAATGTGGTTGTACAGAGGCGTTATTAATGCAATATTATGGTGTTATTATGATACAAATGTGATTGTATTATGATGTTATTAGTGTTATTGTCATACACATGTGGTTGTACAATGGTGTTATTAATATGATCATATTGTGGTGTTAATAGTATGGTTGAATGGTAGTGTTATTAGTGTAGTATTATAGTGTTATTGTGTTAAAAATGTGACTGTATTGTGATGTTATTGTGATAGTATTATACTAGTTTGATGGTAGTATTCTATTGTTTCGCTCGTGATAAATCTTACAACCATAATATTGGGTGGTAAGATGAGATACTTTCTCTTACAAAACTAAATTATCATTCCATATGGTTAACAAAATAGGTGAATCCTATATGAAGCAATGATTATCTCAGTTACATAAATTTTTGAATGCATGTCAAGCACACAACCAAATTTACCTAGATGCTCTCTGTCGACTCTTAAGCTTTCTATTTTTCTTGGGTTCTTTCATTTTTCTATATTAGTTTGCTTGAAAACACAAAGAGAAGTACATTAGTTCACAGTATAAACCCTAAATCATTTCGCAAGAGTTGTTTTAGAAAAACCTAAACATCACAAGAACTACATGGGGGAGAGAGAGAGAGATCGTGAATGTTTCTCGTCCAACGACCGACAGTGCGAGGGATTTCAAACGAACCAAACCATAACTACTAAAATTGCACATAAAAATTGCTCCATAAAACCCTACCCCATGACAATAGAATAAAATAGAGATTGAAGATACTCAAAGGGTTTGTTTTGGAAACTATGGGCTGATTCGGTCCTCATCACACACCAATCTATACACCTTATTTGTTTTTTTGAGTGGACTAATGGCGAAATATCATAGAAGTGTGGAGGCATTGCTAAGTCTAACTTTACGCATTCGGCTATTGTCTCCTCCCTTGCCTCCTCCATGGGCGAAAGCGCAGCCATGGTCTTGGCTTCTCTTCCCCAGTCCTCTCCCGCTTCTTTGTTGTCTCCGCCGGAGGTCCCCATGGAGCTCCACATGCAGAACCGAGAAAAGCTCGTCCATGCCCTTCGCGATCACCTCTTCGCTGCCTCTCAACCTGTCCGAGGTTTCGTTCTTCTCCAGGTAACTCATATTCCCATTGCCCACGTTGCTGAATTGAATTTTTGATTCCCACTGATTGCCTATCTGTATTCTCTCAGGGTGGTGAAGAGCGGACCAGATATTGCACGGATCATACGGAGCTTTTCAGGTTTTTTGCTCCCTTTTAAATTTGTCGTAAAACTATTGTTTGTGGATAAATCGAGTTCTGGCCGTGGCTGATTGGTTCTTGGCAGGACTTATACTGTTTCTTTATTGTTAAATTGATGTTATTTTATCGTATTACTAATGTCGAGAAGTAAAACAAAGTTTGGTCGGTGGTATCATGTTTGAGTTATATTTCCTCTTCATGAGTGGTTCTTCCTTTGTTTTTTTCTTCTGTACTTAGAGGTCCGTGACCTGTAATAGAACTAAAAACATATCATTCAAACTAGGAACGATAAAATTTATGAATGTGTAAAAATCCCTATAATCGGGTCTTTTTGTTAAAAATGACAATAGTTTCAAAACTATGCAAATATGGACAATTGTTAACTTATTTTTTGTAAACAAGTGTAGCTTTTAACATTATTTCTTAAAATCCTGATGGTACATTTTCCTTGTTTGCAGTGTATTGAAACTAGCATCCTTTTTCTAAAAACTAAGCTATACAAATAGCTGTAAAATTTGTAAGCAATGGTTTTAAAATGTTGTTATTTTTGGGTTTAAATGCTTTATACTGTTTCAAGAAGATTGTCTTATTTTTAGAAGGTAATACTTCTTTATATGAAAATTATATAGAATGCAAATAGCTATGCTCAGTCTATGGATTAAACTGCAAGCGAGTAGGTTCTGTACTGGATGATAAGCCTTTTTTATTTGCACTTATAAATGACATTGTTTTGGCTTTTTACTGTTTTCATGTACTAGAAGCTTCTGTATGACCATTTGCAGATCTTATTTTCAGGCAAGAAAGCTATTTTGCTTACTTATTTGGAGTCAGAGAACCGGGTTTCTATGGGGCCATTGTAAGTGCTTTCTACCGTACATTTTTTTCTCTACTCATTTTTTAATGTAGTTGCATGCATCTAATATTTGTCTATGCCTTTTCACTATATCATTAAGCAATCTGGAAACTTTTTATTCAGCTTATTAATGATAATATATTAATATGTAACTATTTTACATTCTTTTAGTTTTTAGAGTCTTTAATGACACTGAACCATTATGACCATGAGTTCTTATTCATATAGAGCATCCATGTGTCCATGCTTTTTAAATATTTTTAAAATATATTCATATTTTAATATGTGATAAAGAATTATTATATATTTCATTTGTTGCTCTTGAGTATTTAGTAATGTATTGAGGACCTTACTATATATAAAGAATGCATTAGGATTGAATGAATCATTTGAAGATCACTGAATGAAAATTATGGTGGCCCAATTTTTTTTTTTCTTTCATTTGTGATGTATTCACTCTCATTATCCCTTAGGCTTGTATTGTTTCTTTTTCTCTTTCCCTCCCTCTCAT